CTTGAGTCGGTTTCATATATGCACCCGCCACCCTGCTGCTCCTCTTTGCACCTAAGTTTCTTGGAAATACTGTCTGCATTGACTGGCTTAGTTTTCTCATTTTCCATTGAGTTTTCACCTTAGTTCTCTGGGTGTTCCATTTAGTCTTCTTTGTGAATTCCTTTTCACTTGCTCATCTCTGCCTTACGTACTGCCCTTCATGTTAGCTCTGGGATATCACATCCACTCCTGATTTTCATTACCATATGCTTGCAGAGTGTTTCCAAGTCTGTGTATCTAGTTCATCTCTTCTAAGCTCTAACCAATCTCTCCCACTCCTTACTGGATCTAATCATTTGGATGTTCTTTTTACACCACAAACCCCAAATATCCTAAATAATTTATCTTTCATCCCAATATGTTCCTCTTGGAGTACTCATTATTTCAATGGTTCCACTATCCACCAGGTTGTTCTAGTTAGAAGCCTGAGAATTCACTCAATCTTCTCTCTTTCCTCATCACATACATTTTATTAATCATCATGCAACCATCAATTCTACCTTCTTTATATTTTCTAAATTTCCCAAATTGCTGGCAATGAATATGTAATCAGAAAAATACCTTAATTAATAAAAATAAATATTTTAATGTTAATTTGGATTTGGTGCTCATATCACCTCCACACCTTTGGAAAACTTACCACAGACATTTGGCAAAATTGCAATTGTCTTTGTGGACAGCCTGACAGCTTTTGGCTTCTGCACAAAAAAGGCTAGGGACAGAGCCATGAATATTTAATCTGTTTCTCACTGAATTGTCCAAAAAGAAAAAAAAAAAAAGCAGGAATGGAAACACCACCCACTGACCTGCCCTAGTTGCACAACTCAACATTCTCACATTTTACAGTTGGGGTCACAAGAGAAAAGTCAAAGCAAAACTATGAGTCCTTTATCTTACTTTGTCAGAGCCTTCCACAGGCTCATGGGGCGAAAATGTACCTTTCCATTTAAAGCTACTGTGCTTCATAACTTCTAGAAGCAAAGCAAGCTGAGCTTCATTCTTGGAAAATGCTGGGTAGCTGGGGCATATCAAAGGGAATTTGGAATGGTTTATGTGGTTTGAAAATTCTTGGGGGCAAAACTGCCTTCCTGTTGCTTTTGGAAACTATCATCCAGAATTGGAAAGGAGGTAAACAACAGGAACTCCTCCACCATTTGGTTTGCTTCCACTTTGTACTTAGCTAATTATTTTATGCTAACAAGAGAGTATGTTTCTCCACAGTCTCTTTCTTT